AGTTAAATGTCAACGCTGGTTTCATGTGTGCAAAAGAAAGGAAATGTCATGTTTAGTGTAAGCAACAACATTATTTTAATCAAATCAGAAGCTCGTTATTAGAAGATAAAGTTTGACATGACCCCGACAACAAGCTGTGTCTACCTGGCTTCCCACGGCTCAAGTTCCTGGCTGACTGCCCTCAGATGAAGTGGGGAAGACTTGCACCGTAATACAGATGAAGCTATGGACAGGGTACACCCCCGAGAGCCACTCAGCCATGTGGATTGCAGGACCCAGGTCCCTCCACATCATGGCGTCTCTAGAATCCTGGCTGAGAAGTTCAGCTCTCTCAATAACCAGTCAAGGATAGTAGTACTTTATCCAGTACATTGTTATATTAAATAATGCATAGAAAGTGCCTTGAACAATGCCGACACACTGAATGCTCCATAAATGTTTGCTATTATCTATTTATGCAATGTTAAATCTTCTCCTTACTTCCAGTGGGTATTATCTCCATGAGGGAAAAAAAACCCTTACTGCTTTTTAAAGAATGTAAGAAATAAGGAAGAATTTCTCAACAACCTACGCTAGCACACCAGAGGTTGTAGGAGAGAAAGGATTACATTAAAACCTGCTCACTTTTATAGGTCAGGGCCTCGTGTTCATGAGGCAGTCAGATATTTACAAGGATGAATGAAACGTAGGAAAGAAGAGAGGGAACTTGGTCAAAGCCCAATCAGATTTGTGGCATTCTGGCGTCTCCAACTCAGGCCGTGAGGAGGCAGGACGCAGGGTAGCTAGAGACGGCAGTGGGCCGTGCAGATTAATAGGGATGCTTGCCTTCTGCACATCCTTAATTTGTCACTGCTGCTGTTTGTCAGACTTAGCCCAAGCCCATGATGTTTGTTCTTAACCCTTTAAGACAAACTCGTGCTGCCCGAATATTCTTGGCTACGCCATCTTCTGCTAGAGGGTGGTCAACTAAGCAGGGTCTGCAATCTTAGAGGAAAACCGTCCCCTCTTCTCCCAGCAGCTAACAATTGCCGATAGCGCCCAGGCTTGGAGTGGGATTGTGTTCCCGGTTCCCCTCTGCATGCTGGGATTTGGTCTGGCTTGGGCTTGCTCAGGTTTTGGACATTGCTGTCACAACCACTGTGAGCTCACATGTACGGCTGCCCTGCTCGTAGCTTCCTTCTTGATGTTGTGTTTGTACAGAAGTCCAGGCCTCCCTCCGGCCCAAAACATCCCAATTTCTAACCTTTATAAAGTAGTGCCAAGCTGAGGAACCACAAGTGCACAGAGGAACAGCCCTCTGTGTGCTTTTGATGGTCATTATTGGATCCCTAGCTCTTGCCAACCAGCCATGAGGTAGTTCTAATAGTTTATAGCTGTAGAGAGTGACTATTCCCATGCTGAGAGTGACAAGACACTTCTCAAAGTGGCGAATCATGGCTTCCAGGTCACCTCCAGCAATGTCACAGTCCATGCGACACTCAAAACAGCAAGGCACACATCCTAACATCATGCAGGTGCACACCCATAATCTTGGCTACATAACGAGTTCAGGGCCACACTGGACTACAGGAGACTGTCTCAAAACACCAAAATTAGAGAAAGCAAAGACAACACTTCGCTTTTAAGATCAAAGGTCACTTCTAAATGTCTACCACCCAAGTCCAACAGAGCGATGTTAGTGGGGGCAGGTCATCTCTTTCATAGTGAATTAAAAAAAAACCGAACATGCATCATTACCATATTCTATTAAAGTGATCAGCGGCCTCATTTACAAAGAGCCCCAGCTGAGCACGGTGGCGCATACCTTTAATCCCAACACTCTGATCTCTGAGCTCAAGGTCAGCAGCATAGTCTGCAAAATGAGTTGTAGGGACAGCCAGGGCTGTTACATAGAGAAGCCCTGTCCCGAAAAACAAAACAAAAAAGCCCCAAGAGATAATATCTAAGAAGCTGAGGTCTTGTCAGCCTTGAGCAAGGCCCGACTCACTGAAAGCCATGGGGCTGGCCAAGCCACTACCACCCTAGCTAGACTTCACACATTATCCCTGGAGTGGCCTGTTCTAGAGAGCACAACCTTTTTCTCCCTGGACCCTGAGGGCCCGGGCCTTTCCAAGTAAATGACCCCAACTTAAGATACTTAGGACTTGTCCCAAAAGGAAGTCTGCTGAGTTCATGACACTTTAAAGAGGTTAATGGCATCCAATTATACCTGAGCTACTGCCAGGGTCAGATGATTCCATGAAGCATAGAAAATGGTCAATGATTGATGACGTTTGCAAATACTTGAACATCTTGGGATCTTTTTAATGGCTTGCTGAAACAAATTGTCATCTTTACAAATGACACACCACTAAAAGCTCTAGCCTAGCCCCTTGCTCTGCCTCCAGGGGGGTTCCCTCCTTGGTGCTCAAGCTTGGATCTTTCTTCAAAACAATCATTAAATGCAGTGTTCTAACCCTCCTGAGAACTGTCTAGTATGTCTCTTTAAGGGGTGAACCATGGCACCTGTCCTCAAAAAGGCATCCAGTCTGCAGAGGAAACGCCTGGCCGCAGTACTCAGACTGGCGACTACCCTAACTGTCACCAGAGAGGCTTCCTCCAGTAACTGACGGAGACAGATGCAGACCCCACAACCAAACATCAGGTGGATCTTGGGGAATCCTGCTGAAGAGAGACGGCAAGAACTGTAGAAGCCAGTTAAGGACATCACAAGAAAAGCCACAGAGTCGGCTAACCTGGGCTCACGGGGGACTCAGAGTCTGGACCGACCTAGGCTCTCTACATACATATCTACTTGTGGGAGCAGGGGCTGTCCCTAACACTTGGGCTGGCTTTAGGGAGCCTATTTGTCATCTGGGGTTGCCTTGCCCAGCCTTTATGCAAGGGCAGGTTTTCTTAGTCCTGCTGCAACTTGACGTGCCTCGCTTTGTTGATACCCATGGGAGACTGGAGGAGTGGATGGGGGGACAGAGGGGAGGTATGGGAAGCAGTGAGAGGAGAGGGAGGGAGGGAAAACTTTGGTCAGGATGCAAAATAAATGGATACTTTAGTTAATAAAAACAAAACAGAAAGCCTGGATGCTGTAGGTCAGCAAGTAACCTGGGTTTCACTATCAGTCATACGGGGAGGGCGAGCTATTGGATGGACTACTTAAAAGTCAGGACCATCCAAAATCAGAAAGGAAGGAAGGGAGAGAGAGAGAGAGAGAGAGAGAGAGAGAGAGAGAGAGAGAGAGAGAGAGAGAGAGAGAGAGAGAGAGAGAGAGAAGCCATTCACTTCCTTACAATGCAAAGCTAAATGGGAATTAAGACTAGTACGCATGACATTCTGAGGATGCAGACCTTCACATGATCCAAAGACCCCACAAGTGTTTCCACCACATGCATTCCCTGTTCTGAGGCACCCACCCAGAAAGGGTGGCCGGCTCCCTAAACTCAATTTGCCCAGGTCTGTAAGACTCCATCATAGGCCAGATCCTCGACTCTAGCTGAGATGTAATCATTAAAGGCAAAAGGAAAGCAATGTCTATACCTCCCCCATGTTCCACTCCCGCCAGGCTAGGGATGGTTGTGTCACAATCTGGCCATCAAAAACCATAAAGGGGCCATCGATGGCTAAGAGGACTTAGCCGGAACTGTAAGGTGCAGCCAGAATCTGCCTGTTGGGATTCAGCAGGCAGACCTGCTGCAAACCACCCCCAAATAACCAAGGATACTCAGTGTGTGTTTGAAAAGCTCTTCCCAGAAGAAGCTGCCTACCATCCACTCCAGACAGGAGAAGGGGCTGGGAGAGCGTATAAGCAAGTCCCCCACCCAAGGCTAAAGTTGTTTCTGCTCTGGCAGGGAGCCCCTGCGAGGGCGCTGCTTAGAAAGCACAGGCAAACATTTGGAGCCATTCAATTCCTCAGAGTCCCGCTCCCTACAAGACGGGGGGGGGGGAGGGATGAGGGGGCTGAGAATGTGGCTCTAAGGAACCCAGTGGAGCAAAGTGTGCAGCCTCCCCTCTCCACCCCTGCATTCAAGCCCTGCCGGTGATGAGAACAAGGGTGGCATGGGTCAGATTACCCCTTTAAAACCATAACTGCTTTTTTTAACCCCTAAACTGCTGCAGACAAAAGCATTTAAACATAAAAGCTTTACTCATCACATCTTGGACACTCATCAACCATAGGGAAAGCATCTGGGGGACAAAGATTCCTAATGTCCCCTGGAAAAGCTTGACTCCTGCCACCCAGCAGAGTCTTTGAAGAAGCTTTGAGTCGGTCCTGCTTAGGGGGGGGATGTCTGCTGGAATGACCGTGCCAGGTGCCTCCTGCCTCACCTTCTGGGGGCACAGAGGTCCATGGGAGCCAGAACTGGGGCGGAAACCAACAGCAAGAGTGCCCCTGATGCCCGGGAGTTTCTCTCCCACATCCCGGCACTCTCATCGGGAAAAGGGACCGATTCCTTGGACTGCCTCTTCCGTTTCCCCTTCCCACTGAAGTCTGGAAGATTCCAAGCCACTGCACTGTTCCCTGACAGCTCATCAAGCTCATGGCCATGAGAACCCCCCCCCCAGACCTCCCCTGATGCCTGCCACATCTGGCTCCCTAATAAATGAGCTATGCTCATCCAGGGGCGATTGTTTTTTTCCTGAGGCACCCTAAAGATGTCCAAATCACTGTCGCTCCTGGGAGCTTCTCTCTAGGGCTTGGTAAAGTCAGTCTGCCATCGCCAGCTCTCAGACACTTGAAGGGACCCTCTCCACGAGCTGCTTAAGGCTCGCGCCCTGTTTCCCCCGCAGACAGCTGCACCAATCCTACAAGTGCACACACCTGGACCACAGGTAGCACGCAAGAACATCCAGCCTTCCAAGTTCTCGTTAAAGTTCCTCTCAGACTAGACCTGGGGACTGTGGACCTCCGCGGAGGGTTTGAATCTACCACCCCCTCCCCTTCACCTGCCTCCGAGCTACCCCCTACTTTCCACCCCCCCCCCAGGGCGGGTGGCAGCCGTACTCACATCTCGGAAACGGTTCCAGTACTTATCGCGGTCATACTGGGAGACGGTGCTCAGCCACTGGTCATTGTCTAGGAAATTGGCGTTGTTGAGGGCCGCACCGCCCGCGAACGCGTCCAGGTGCCGGCTGTCCACTTGGAGGAAGCACCACGCAGCGGCGGCCGCCGCGAGCACCGCGATCGCTGGCATCTGGGGGCAGGGCACACGGGCGTGAGCCAGCAACAACAGGACCAGGACGACCCCCCCCCAGCCCCTCGCTCCCACCAGGGGTCTGGGCGCCTGGGGAGCGCACCAGCTGCAATGCCTAGGATCACAGCGGGGGACAGGGTGGTCCCTCGCACACCTGGGACGGAGGCTCCACCTGGAGAACCCTCATGAATGCAGACAGCCACAAACGCAGAGGCTAGGTCACCGATTCGGGGCTTCTGTCAAACTATAGAGGACCCTTTTCACCTGCTCTCGGATGAGGGGCGTCAGCACCTCTCCCCAAAACCCGGATGTTCGATGTGCCAGCCCCGCACTCCCACAGACGGGGCCCACAGCTGTGGGGCAGGGATAGGGATAACGGGGCTCTCAGCATCATTCCCGGGCTCTGGCAGATGGGAGCTTTCAGGGTGCCCTCAAGCCCGGCCTCCCATTCCCAGCTAAAGCAAAGGTCTCCCTGCGCCCGGCCCGCTGCTTCGGTGCAACAGGGGCGCGCAGAGATGCCCCCAGGCCCTGACCCTGTCGGCCCCTGGGATGGCCTCGGGAAGGTCCCAACTACGCCAATACGCCAAGTTGGGGCTCAGGGTTCTGCGGACACGTACCTTGGGGGCCCGCTCGAGTCCCGGCGACCGAGTTGCTGGGGCTCCTGTGCCGCGGTGGCTGGCAAGGCTGCTTGCTACCCGGCTCGTTCCCCCTGTGCACCTGCCGCCGCCGCGCGTCCGGCCGCTTTGTGAGCCCGCAGCGCTCTGGCTCGGCTCGGGCGCGGCGTCCGCGGGCGGAGAAGCCCGAGCTCATAGCCGAGGCCTCTGGCGCCCCCTGGCGGCTGCGCGACGCTCCGCGGTCCCATCCCGGAGCATGATTCATTTGGCAGCTTTCTGCAGGACTGACACAGATTCAGACTGAGGGGAACCAGGTTACAAAGGCCAAGAAGTCCCCAGTATTGAGGGACTCTCAAAGGGTAGATGGTCAGGACAGCTGGCTCAGGATCACTTTGGTGGAGAGAGGGAGGGCGGTCTCCCAACTTTCTGAATCAGCATCGCTTAACAGGGTCTCCAAGAGTCTGCACTTTTAAGAAAGCCCCAGGGAGCTTCTTGTGCACAGAAATACTTGAGTGAATTCCTCCACTCCCTCGTCCAAGCCGTGCACACAGAATCTCTGAAGTCTGGTCGCCACCCGTGGGGTTCCTGCGTAAACATCCTGCAGCTTCAGGGACCGGGCTGAGTTCAAAAGCAGGAGGCTGGTCTTGCCACTGCTCTTCCCAAACACTCAGCTATGGTAGATTAAATAGGGCTGGGAGGAATTTAACACGTTGCGCTGCTTGAAAACAGGTGAGTTCGCTTCTCTGTACAACTGCAGCCAATGCCCAGTACTCGGTTAGAACAAAACTGATCACACGTGAACACGAGCGCGCATGCACACATATGCACACACACATAAACACGAGAGAGGAGAGACAGAGAGAGAGAGAGAGAGAGAGAGAGAGAGAGAGAGAGAGAGAGAGCACAAGCTTCAACACCTTCATGATGCTTGCCCCAAGAAGCACCTTAACAGCCAGCTACAATCCTAGACACCCCTGGCCCTTTCCCTCTTCCCACCGCCCCCACCCCATGCAGCCTTGTTCTCCCTCCCTCCACAAGCTGGCCTTGGAGTCAGTCAGACCCCAGTGGCAATGGTCTCCCTCCAGCACTGGACTCACTTTGGTCTGGGTCAAACTTGAGCCAGCTGGAACCTACGAGTCCACTCTGCAGCTGCGCCATCCGTTTGTGCAGAGACTCCCAGTGCCTGTGATGCAGGCCAGGAACTCGGTGACGCTGTCCTGGGAACACGGGGTTTCCCGGGGTTGCAAGCTCATCGCACCTGAGGTCACTTACTGCGAGTGCTGTCTCCCTCGTGACTACTCCTCACGACACGCAAGCATTCGGTGTCAGATGAAGTCGAAGCCACACGTTTCAATGTTGCCACGGCAATGATGTGGTCAGTTGTGAACTGTGTTGTAATAATCTGGCTATGGACAACATATGGACTGTGATTTAAAGCACAGGCTTAACTGCAGCTACTGTGCACTCTGGGAGGCCTTAATAGGGGAGACATGGAGTCCTTTCTTCATGTTGAGGAAACCATAAAAATTCAGGCGTTATGCTGGCCTGCCCCTGTCACCTGGTGGCATGCACTCAGGCAGCACCCTGGTCAGCCCAGGGCTCCATGGAGTCTGTACGCAGGTGCAAAGGACCCCTTAAAAGAAAGACCCCGCCCACTTAACAGTCTTTTTGCTCGCTCCTCTCTGTCTACTCTCTCTCTCTCTCTCTCTCTCTCTCTCTCTCTCTCTCTCTCTCTCTCTCTCTCTCTCTCTCTCTCTCTCTCTCTCTCTCTCTCTCTCTCTCTCTCTCTCTCTCTCTCTCTCTCTCTCTCTCTCTCTCTCTCTCTCTCTCTCTCTCTCTCTCTCTCTCTCTCTCTCTCTCTCTCTCTCTCTCCTCTCTCGTGTTTATGTGTGTGTGCATATGTGTGCATGCGCGCTCGTGTTCACGTGTGATCAGTTTTGTTCTAACCGAGTACTGGGCATTGGCTGCAGTTGTACAGAGAAGCGAACTCACCTGTTTTCAAGCAGCGCAACGTGTTAAATTCTCTCTCTCTCTCTCTCTCTCTCTCTCTCTCTCTCTCTCTCTCTCTCTCTCTCCTCTCTCTCTCCTCTCTCTCTCTCTCTCCCTCCCTCTCCTCTCTCTTTCCCGCTGTTCCCCTGGGGCAGACCGGACTTTTCCTGTCTCCCTCTTCTCTCCTGTCCTCTCTGTCTCTCTGTGTCTCTTTTCTTTTCCATCTCTGTTCATGGTTGGCCAACACCTACCCTTCCCTTTGCTCCCTTTTCCCAGTAAACCCCACATGGGTTTGATGAGTTCTGTGGTCTGTGTTTCACCGCTCGCAGCTGCAGCAAAAGAGCAACAGAACACTTCACCCAGGATGTGTCCCACCAGAGGAGCATAGTGAATGTCTTGTGTCACAGCCTAAGTGAGAGAGAGACTTGGGGAGAACGTACTTTACATTTAGAGGATGTGCAAGCATCGCCCCTGCTCTGTTTCCCAGCAGCCCTGTTATGGAGAGTTATCCCCAGATGTCATTGCTGTCCCCTCGCATCCCGTTCTTCGATCAAGCCATCTTAATCTACCTCGAGCCACCCGACTAACGTGACTTGTCACATCAGCAGCCTCCCCTGCTCAACCCTGGGCTGTTCCTACGGGCTCCAGGATTTCTGCTCCTCGAGTGTCATTCCTGTACCCACGCCAGGCTCCCGGAGGAGGGCAGCCCTGGCCCCCTACTCTCTCACCACAGGGTCCTTTCCCCAGACATCTGCATCCGCTGTGCGCTGTACGTCAGCCCCAGCCCACAGTGTTTTGAAAGCCTGCCACTATGTACCCAGCTTTACACTCAGCATCTCGGGGTGCCCGCAGGGTACCCCAGGCTCGTCTCAGAACCTGCCATTCACTGAACCCAGTGATTGGGTGAATCGAGCAAGCAAATTCCGTAACCCTGATGTATCTCAAAGTTTTAAACTCCCATCTCCAACCTTTGGTTCTGTAGAGAAAAATCTCTGAATTTTTTTTTTCTGGGAAGATCCGTCCCTAGTTTAATTAGAGGGCATCTGCTCGTGGCCAGCCGCCAACCTCACAACTGGAACTGTGTCTGTAACCACCGCACATAGGAAGGGCAGCCAGTACCGCACAGGCAGGAGATGGGGTGTCAGAGCCGGCCTGAGCCAAGAAGGGACTTAACCTTGCAGCAGGGCGAGAAGGCTGGCAGCTGGACTCCTGCCATCCACCAGCCAGCACTCGTGGGGAGGAATGTCAGATTCGTTCGGCTGTGAGAAGCACCCAGGACCAAATCAATACTGTCCCTTGGGGCTGTATTTCTGCTCTTCATTGGCTCTCACACAAATATAATAACTCCTTGTTTTAACATAGCTCTCATTTCCTAGGAGCCCACATGTTTTATTTTCAGTTTAGTGGATCCTCGAACATGCGCTCCTGGCTACACTGAAGCAGATGGAACTGTCGCCACTTTCTGCCGAGGAAAGGGACTTTGCAGGAAGAACCGTGAAGGTCACAGTGTGATGGTCTAGCCTGGAAAGCCTAGGGGTATGACCCCCCAAGATGCTCTCCTGGCCAGGATGGACTCCATCTAATGAGAGAGGTGTACTGCTTTGCTACCAGCCTGGAGTCAAACTCGTTTGTCTCTCTGACACACGGCATCTCTGTTTTACTACCTCAGCCTCTCTGAATCCAAAATGTTGACGGTGGGATGCTTGATCATCATCTCTGGTCAAGCCTGCTCCCCAGCCTATGTCCCCACATCAGGAAAGCTCCCCCTCCAGAGCACCATGACCTTCTCAGCCCCCACCTTGAAGGAATGACCTCACTGTCCAGGATCGGCCCCCACCTTGAAGGAATGACCTCACTGTCCAGGATCGGCCCCCACCTTGAAGGAATGACCTCACTGTCCAGGATCGGCCCCCACCTTGAAGGAATGACCTCACTGCCCAGGATCGGCCCCCACCTTGAAGGAATGACCTCACTGCCCAGGATCAGCGCCCACCTTGAAGGAATGACCTCACTGCCCAGGATCAGCGCCCACCTTGAAGGAATGGCCTCACTGCCCAGGACTGCTCTACACTTGAGTTCGGCCCAGCCCTCCCTCCCTCACGGCTTCTTCCCACACCTTTCATCTGCACTGCACAGAGCCCTCAGCCAGGGCCCCCATCTTCTGATCACCACAGAAAATTCACTCTACACAGAGGCTTCGGGTCCTCTCTCAGTGCAAAGGTGACCCCCTTCCCCATAGTCACTGCTCTTGCTGCTCCCTCGGGACAATACCTGGCACATCAGCTTGAGGTCCTATGCCTCCTGCTGCCCCCACCCCTCCCATTTCTGCCTTCTGCTAAGGTCGCCCACCCTACCCCTCTCCTGTGGGCTCCCTACAGACGGCATGCTCCTCTCTGCCCGCCCTTCTTCTAACGGGCTGTCCTCCCTCCTCAGGACGTAGCATCACCTGAAGTCCTCAGACACAGCTTCCCCAAGCCCAGGACCCGGAGGACCTCAGAACTACTTCCCGTCTGCCTTTCAGCAGACACACTCAGCAGAATGAAGTCATGGTCTCCTGCAGGCCTGTTCCACCTACTACCGAGTCCCTAGTGCTCTACAAAGCCTTGCCGACATAGTAGGTGCACAAGAAACGCTGACTTAATCAGGATCGCATCTCAAAGCCCTGCACATAGTAGGTAAACAGCCAATACTGACAGAGTGAGTGGAGACTCAAGTTTCAGTGGTTTTTATTTCCTTCACATCTGAGAAGAAAAACAAAAAAACAAAACAAAACAAAAAAAACAAACCACGCTCCCAGGTTTATGTTGCAGATTTTAGACCATACAAAAATGCCTTCAGTGGAAGATGAGGACTGTGAGAGAGACATGGCCTTGCACTCCTGGACCATTCTGTCCTAAAGGTGATGCTGTAGTCTATCCTGCCCTAAGATGATGAGGAATGAAATAGATGCATTTCTTGTCACCATGGAAAGCGGCTCACCCAGCAGCAGGGTGTGTAACTTTTATGAACACATCGGTTTCACCTATTGATTATATGTGTTCACAGAGTCGGGTTCACTCCATCTCCAGCATCCACAGCCATCCCTCCCTCCTCCTACTCACGCTTTCTTGCTCTCCGCCCCTCTTCAGGGTCACAGCTCAGGGGCGACTACTCTTAAGCAAATGGGCAC